TTAAATTTAAGAAAAATACAATATAAATTTAAGTATTTAACAAGTATTTAAGAAAGATACAACCACCTGGATCTGCTGTATTCTACTCTATCTGCCTTTTAAAGACATCTTCAATTTCCCAGCTGACCCCAAATCCCATTCCCACTGCACTTTTGGTTGATTTCTGTTTCCTTATCTCTGTTCTTATTTATTTTGCTTACTCTGTACTCTGCAGACTCCCAATTAGTTGTCAAGACAATTCTTTCCCCATGGGGTTGGACTGGAGACACAGTTGGACAGTGCAGTCATCCGTACTTCTCCATACCCACAGTAAACAAAACTGGTCTGCCCAATTTTTTCCCCAGTACCTTTTACCTATTTAGCCCACCAACACCATCCTGTCTTTTATTCTGTCACTTCAGATGCTTTCTCACGGTAATACCGTGCAATCTCCTTTGCAAGTACCACTCAGCCTGTTTTTCCTTATCATCAGGTGTGTCCTACACAAGAGGCCTATTTTTAATCGTGGTTACAGGAAGGGTACAAAGTAAATAATTAATGCTGCTAGCCAGTCCTCCAATCCCACCCATTTCACTTCATATCACATGTGCACTCCACCCTATCTTACTCACATGATTTAATTCTTGGGCTCTTTTCCTGTCCTTTTTTTTCCCCCCTAGAATCCTCTGGGTTTGTGTTTGATACTTCCATGGACCTCCTCAGTACATTTCATGCTCACTTGCCTCTGTCTTTCTCTCCCCTCCATATCTCTGCTCACCCTCCTTTTCCTCTCTCTGGTCCACAAAGACTCTTAACACTACATCTCTACTTTTATCTCTCATCATCAGCATAACTTTTCTTTCACTTGGCCCAAACTCTTGACAAAAATCTCACTAATATTTAGAAAGAAACAGGGTGCTTATCATGGCTAGGAAGAACAAACTAGGAGGAAGTGACACATGTACAGTAAAACCTGCAGCTCTTCCAGAAAAGTGTAATTTCTCATGAGAAATGACAAAGCACAAGGATGAAACTTCACAGGACAAAACCAGAGCATTGTCTGTCTTTTCATCTATCCTGGGGTGGGCATGATCATCTACAGAACACAAAGGTGAAAGACGAGACCACCTCACCACTCCCCAGACAAATAAAGCACATTTGTTCAAGGTAAACAAAGGAAAAATAAAGCAGGTGAGGAAGTGAAAAGAACTGTTGCTGCCAAACAGCAACTGAAGTGCCAGCCATTCAATCCATTCCTTGACTCCTTTCAACTGTACAAGCAGTGCTATTGTCAGGCAATTATTTCTGTACACACTGTTTCTCCGAGGGCACTTAATGTCCCCTTGCTTTGGCCAGAGGTGTACAAATACACGCACAACTGTGACATTTTCTTCAGTCTGCTACATAAGCACTAGAGAAATCTGTCGAATAAACCCTTTTGTTTCTGAACTTCTGAAGGGTATTGTTACTGAACACCGTGTAGTAGTGTGCAACTGCTCTGCAAGTCAACATTACATCTCAAATGAAGCATTACAAGAAATACTTAAATCACATTTTATTTTTCAAATTCAAAAATAACAATTAGCTTTATTTAACATGTTACACACCTCAGATTTAAAATATCATGCTCTATTTAAATATCTGAGTGACAACACTATACAAATAAAATGTTACACAAAATATATTTAAGAAAATGTTTTGGTCTTCAATCTGAACAATAAATAGACAGGCACTTCTACATATACAAAGAAAGCAACCACTATTCAGAATAATTTTTATAAGCAAGATGTGGAAATACAGAAGATCTGAGTTCTGAGAACATGTTTAACTCTACATGAGACATCATGCAACTTTAAAGTTTGTTTCAAAACTTGAAACTCTTAGTAACAGCACAATTCTAGATTTGCTACCGCTTTATAGGAGATCCAAACCATGCTCTCATAAACAATGTGCAATTTCAGGTATTTCCATCAAGTCAAGCCACCTGATCACACTTAGTGCCCAAACAGAAAACAAGGACTGACCAGGGTAGCTTTTCACGTAAGTAACATGAGTCTGCTTCAGTAGGTAAGCTGGAGGCAGGGCTCAGACCTAACTGTACCTGTTTCCCAGCCCCAACCACAATCTGTTCTCTCTTCTCCTTTTACATTGAGCTCTTATGGGGTGTTTCAAGCAATATGATGCCTTTTTTTCTGTGTGAAAAAAGCATCAACTAATAAAAGGACAAATCCTTCAGACACAGACACACTGCACAGAAGATCATAAGTAAAGGAGAAAATACTGTTCCAGGGTGCAAAAGGACTGAAAACTATAAATTAAAAAAATGTTCAAAACTTGAAGTCTCCTGTTTCATACCTAAAACTACATTCCTCCAATTTGTGTATTTCCAATTTACAGTGGTTTCCACACAAAAACATTACTCAAGGAAAAATTATCTTCCACCACCACAATTAATGAAAGATGCACTGTGGTAGGCAATCCCTGTTTCCAATACAGCTAACCAGTCACTGACAGCTAGTTATATCCTGGAAATCCTTTTTAAAATTCAGACAAATATTGAAACATAACGACCACCAGGACAGTGGAAAAGTCAGGACCAAGTCTTCAAAGCCATCCCTTCAAATTTTAGTATTATTCTCATCTTCAGAAGTACAGGAGAAAATTTACAGAGAAAATTCAACCATTAAACAGACATTCTGTGAACCACCAAAAAAGTCAGCCCCAAACTTGGGAAGTTATTTGGATTTAAGACACTTACGCACATTACTTTAGCAACTTAAGTGTGGATCTTGCAAGCGTGTCCAAATCTTAATCATTTCTTGAGGTTTTCTACTATGTACTAACATTAAGTTTGTGTAGGAACATATGTTATTTCTGTATTTCTCTTCGATATCAAACGTTTTGAAGCCTTTGTGTTTCTCCGGAGCAAGCCCAAGCTTCTGAAGGCACATTCCAGTATAAACATCATCAATGGGGTAAAGGAGTACTTGGTCAGATGCATTATTGAGTCTTAATGCCAAGTCACCAGAGTACAGAAACCCACCACCTCCTGCGTACGGAGGATATGAACCTTCATAAACACTTTCTGGGATGTAGTACTTCAATTTCTTTTCTCTATGAGGTCCAGCATCTTTGATCACATCGCCTACAAATAAGTCTTTGGCTTTGTCCTTTGATAAGCTCTTCAAGTAGTCCAGGATCTGATGGGTATTCACAAAAACATCATCATCACCCTTAAAAATAAACTGGACGTTTGCACAGCTGCTGCTGACCCACTTAAGGAACAGTACCTCTTTCAGAGTTAAATTGAAGAAAGTGTCTCTGTAGTTCCAGAGGAGAATGTCTTGGTGGGTTTCACTCTCAAATTTTAGCATGTCTGAAAGATCAGGAAAATTATCCTCTGGTGGAGTCTGTCCAAGTAAGAAGACCCTTCTGACTGTCACATCCCCTGAGTTTATCTCCTTGCCCCAGGATTCTCTAATTGCTTGCCTTCTATCAAAATGGGGTGTAAGTGACTTAATAGCCAGCAGCAGAAAAGGTTTATGTTTGCACTTGTTTGGCTGATCCATTAATAACGAATAATTTCTACATCTCAGATAAAGCAGAAAGTCTTTGAATCTGTCTGGCAAGTTAGCAAAGTCACTAACCTCTGAAGATACCCATGGGTCAGGGTCACAGGAACTGAGAACACTCAGGTTAGCAGCTAAGTTCTCTTCCACTGTCATATTGGAAAGCAAAGTCAGAATGGGGTTGTACAGCAGTTCAAGCTTCTGCTGCTGTTTGTTCCAGTAAGCTTTGTGAGGAGTATATTTTCTCCAGAATTTGCTACGTGGTATAACAACACGGCCTTTTGCATTCTTGTCTTGGCTGCCACTTTTTGAGACTTCCACAATCACATAAATAAAAATGTTTACCATCATCAGAATTCCCAGCAGCTTTAATCTTCTGCGTCCAACACTCATTTCTCATATCTAGAAATTAAAAAAAAAGATTTTTAGCCTTCATCATATCAAGCTTTTGAGCTCATAAAAATGCAAACTCTTTTCAGATGAAGAATATGCAACTTAGTACCCTAAAAACAGAGAACCATAGAATGATAGAATCAGCCAGGTTGGAAAAGACCTCAAAGATCGTGTCTAACCCTACAGTGGTTACTAGACCATGG